TTGCATCAGGTGACCAACGTATGGGAACTTCAACTTCAGGATCAGTCCTTCCAATGAATATTTAGGGTTGATTTCCTTTAGGATTGACTGGTTTGATCTCCTTGCTGTCCTAGGGATTCTCAAGAGTCTTATGCAGCACCACAGTTTGAAAGTATCAATTCTTCCACACTCAGCCTTCTTTATGGTCCAACTCTCACATCCTTACATGACTACTGGAAAAATCATAGCTTTGACTAGACGGACCTTTGTCAGCAAAGTGACATCTCTGCTTTTTAATATGCTGTCTTGGTTTGTCATAGCTTTTCTTTCAAGGAACAAGAGTCTTTTAATTTCATGGCTGCAGTTCCTGCCTTAGAGAAAATATCTATTATACCTTACTTGAACTAAAACACTTGGAATTTTCTTTGACCACCTTTCTCTTACACCCCACAGACAATCCAGTAGCAATTACTATTATTGATTTTACCTCCAAAATATAACCTACTCTACTGCCTCCTCAAAATCAGCCATTTTCCACCTGAATTACTGCAGTGGCCTCCTAACTGGTTTCCCTGTTTCTGCTCTTGTCCCAGAATCATCTGCTCTCTACCCAGCAGCCTGCAATCCACTAGAAAATGAAGTTGTGGGATGTCACTTCTGTGGTCAGAACTATCCAGTCATTTCTAGTCATCTCAGCTCTGCACCATGGCCTCCATGGCCTTGTGTGATTGGCCCTGTCTGTCCTTGTGACCTCTTCTCTGCCATCTCTCCCTTATTGATTCTGCTGCAGCCACACTAGTTTCTTTGCTGTTCCTCAGACATCGCCAGCTTGCTCCTGAATCTAAGCCTTCGACACATACTGAACTGTCTTTCAGGGATGCTTTTCACCCAGATGCCTGCAAAGGCTGCTTTCTTTCTTCCTTCAGGTCTCTGTTCACATTTCATCTCATCAAAGGGGGCAGGTGAGAGAGCTTCCTCTTACCAGCTCAACTCCTCTGATACGGTAAAATGTGGACAGAGACCTGAAGGAGGAGAGAAAGGAAGCTAGGCAGATATTTATTCAATTTATCTTCTCAAAGGAATTTGAATCCTGACTGGGTATTTGAAAATAGATTATTCATTTTCTTTTATGTTTGTAGTTCTGTTTTAGAGAAAGAATCCCGATTTCTATTATCTGTCATGGTGAAGCAGTAAACTGGGGAAAAAAAGAAACTATTTTCAGATGTTGGAAATAACACAGCTCTGTGATCCTTAGTGAAGAGAAGCAAGCAAGATAAGTCATATGATAGCCCTGTCTTTTTTTTTTTTAATTAGAGCCACATTTCAATGTGCAAGGTGTAGAGAGGGATCCTAGAAGCATAGCAGCAGTCCCAATGAAGTGAAGAGACAGAGACTGGAGTTCAGGAAGGTTGAAGTGGTTAGATGTTATATGGCAGGGTTCCAGAGAGAAAGGTACCATGCAGAACCAAAAACCCAAAACCAAACACAAACAAAACGAGTCCAGAAATTTACATAAGTAAATTACATAAGTAAAATCCTTTTGAATGTTCCCTTAATATTAAGTCACGAATGCATAGAGTAAAACTCTACAAACAACCACCAGAGAGCTGTAAGCAGAATCATTTCTAAGGCTCAGAAACTGTTCACCCAGAGTGGAGAGATGTTTGAGCTCTGCCCCTTCAGAATTGAGAGCCTTTGTTGATTATTGAGGCCATTTAGTAGTGACCCCAGATGTGTGTCTCTAGTACAGGGATAATCAACCCTATTGTAAAGCTTCTCCAGATCCACTCTGAGAAAGTCTGAAGAGGACCAAACTCATCTGTAAGAATTTAATAGCCTGTCAGAATAAAACAAAATATCTCTTTGAAGACAATAAAATCTAAATGCTGAACAATATAGCATATGATGTGTCCATCATTCAATCAGAAATTACTAACTCACCAAGATAATAGGAAAAAATGATCCATGTCCGGAGAAAGTTTAGTCAGTAACCCAAAAATGGTAGAAATGATGAAATTAGGACTTCATAACAGTTCTTACTATAAATACGTACATTATGTTCAAGGATTTAAAGGAAAACACAAACACCACAAAGAAGGAAATAAAAGTTATAAGAGGGAACCAAGTGGAACTTAAAGGGTTGAAAAATACAATATTTGAAATGAAAAATTAATTGGTTGAAGATCAGAATCACACATGATTCAGAAAAAATGTCAGTGAACTTGCAGCACATAAAGATTGGAAAAATGTAAACGAGAAATTTTCTTTTAGTATATACACAAAATGTTTGTAAATGAAATTTTATGAAACCTAGGATTTGGCTCAAAATTTTACAGAGTTGGGAGAAGGGAAGTAGGATGAAGCAAAGATTAGCTTTGATTTGCTAATTGTTGAAGATGCGAGACTGGCCCAAAGGGTTTATTATAATCTTCTTTTGATATTTCCAATTCTTAAAATCATTTACAATAAAAGTTTGAAAAATATAATCTAGTAAGAAAAAGTAGTTAGAATCTTTCTTTTGTCTCAAATGTGATAGAAAGTAGGTCAATGAAAAATAAGCCTTCCCCTTCATAATACTAATGATGTAACAGTCTTGAAAACTCTGCTTTGCTTTGATGGGTAGAAGCTGAAAGCTAGGACCTCTGTAGCTAGAGATGCTTCCCTCTTATTGTAATAATGCCCTGATACCCAGGAAGGGAAATATGAAATCAGGAAGACGTCATGGCCTAGTAGGAGAACCATGGTAACATATGATAGGATGCCCACTTAAGGGGGAATATGCTTGCACTTACTAGTCTTATACCTGCTGTCTAGGTGGGGTTATGAGACGAGTGAGTGAATGGTGCTGTAAATCCTTTGTTTTATTCATAAACTCAACATATGAGTTTTTTTTTTTTAAGAAAACGATATCTTAATTTGGGTTGCTATAACGAAGTTGCACAGACTGAGTGTCTTATGAACAGAAATTTATTTCTCACAGTTCTGGAGGCTGTAAGTCCAAGATCATGGTGCCAGAATGTTTCAGGTTGCAGATTGCTTGCTGTATCCTCACGTGGAAGAGTTAGGGTAAGAGCACGCTCTGGGGTCTCTTTTAAAGGACACTAATCCTGTTCATGAGGGCTCCACGCTCATGACCTAAGCACCTCCCAGAGGCCCCACTTCTAATACCATCACATTGAAATTAGCGTCTTAACATATGAATTTGGAGGGACACGAACATTCAGACCATTGCAAAGTACCTAGTGTTAAAGTGCTTAATTTAGTTAAATTGGAGGTGGGGGCATTATACTAGGGAGAATGGGGATAGACACTGAACTGTGGAAGGCCACAGAACTCACTCTACAACAGGCTCTACTGTTCCTTTTCAACTTGAGTGCCGGCGACTCCACCAAGTGAGCCTTTGGTTGCAGACTTGCCAGTTGACTAAAAACTCCTGGGAAGCATGGTATGCTTTCCTGCCTCTGCCCTTTGGGTCAAACCATTCTTCGCCTCATTACCTTGTTCTGATTGAGAGATGCAGCTTAAAGGCCCTACTCCCAGTTGTTCTCAGTTTGGGGGTCTGCGGGATCTTCTTCAGTGGTTCAGCTCTTGTGGTGCTCTTAGGCCAGAAGGGTTGAACCTGTGGCACTGTGCAGTCATGTGATTAGCACAGGGCAGGTGTTAGGCTGTCTTTTCAAGTATTTATTCTTCTGTGAATTTGTTGATTGGTAGTATGGACACTTTGACCCTGAATACGTTTTGACTCAATGTTTGTGAACATAAACATGACGAATGCTATGCCCATATTGAATTGTTGTTAAGAAAGGCAATTAGGGGCAGGCGGGGGAGTGGTGGTGGCAAATACTATTAGGACAGTTTAATTAATTGACCAAATCTTGATATTGCATACATTTTTTGTCTTTTTTCGGTTTAGTTTTACTCAAAACATTCTTAACAAATTCAAATCTTTTTGATGTAAATCTTACAATTTATTGATCAAGTTTTGGTTATATACAATATCACTGGTTGTAACTTTTGCAGTTTTTCATTGTTTCTTACAAAGTCTGATTTTTTTTTTTTACCAATCAATTCAGTGTTAGAAAAATCTGTAACACATTTGACCATGTACAGTTTTAGCCATTGTCTGTTTTATTTTATCTTGCTAATTTATACTAGTAATAGTTCTTGGAAGTTAGGGAAAAGGAGATACCCTTTCTTGGCTAGTCATTGAGACACCTGGGAATAATTTCCTTGGCAATTCTAGTGGCAGACCTTGGCAACACAAAATATCACCACAAAGAGGAATGTCACAGCTTCATTATGTTCATTAACACAAATAATGAGAACATGTTAGTCCCCTAACTTTTTAGATTTTTATATTATTGGTATTTTACTATGTACCAGTATTCAGTGGTAGCAAAAAATAGCTTTTAAACTATGCAGTCTTATACTTTTTTCCTAAGGCTACTAGTGTTAGTTGCTCAGTCATGTCTGACTCTTTGGGACCCTGTGGACTGTAACCCACCAGGCTCCTCTGTCCGTGGAATTCTCTAGGCAAGAATACCAGAATGGATAGCCATTCCCTTCTCTAGGGGATTGTTCTGACTCAGGGAATGAACCCAGGTCTCCTGCATTGCAGGTGGATTCTTTACCATCTGAGCCACTAGGCTTCTAGTAGACTATATTTATTTATTTATTTTATTTATTTATTTTTTTAGTTGACTATATTTAAATGAGTAAGCACACATGTTCTCCCCCACCCCCACAGACACTTTATAGTCACTTTCAATACATATATAATAAAAAGTATGGAATGAATTCCCCCCAAACAAATCCTTTCAAAATTGGGATTTATATTACAGGTCTGTGCATCTTTTATACCAGCACAGACAGAAGTTGACTTTGACTTCCATGCTGGTCATCTCCTCACCATTTTGTCTGCCAAGAGTGCATTCAAGAAGAGAAGAGCTTCTGAAGTCAGAGTTTAATAAAGTCCTAATATAACTAGAGGAGGAGAGAATAAAAGACAGTGACTTGCTTACCCAGGACCCACTTCATGATGAGCATTTCTGTCCAGGAGAATTGTGTAGTTTTCACTCTGAAGATCTGTTTTGGGTAGTCTGTGAAGGTTTCGTTGGGCAGGGTTTTCACGCCTTCAAAGCGGTCTGATGCGTTCACAACTAACAATCCCAAGAAGATTGTGAAAGAAACTGCATGGGCTACAAATTTCATGAAAGGGCTCCTCAGTGTTCGTCCTAGCTGGAAACAAAATGTGTATAAGACATGTTAATCTGGCAGCTTCAGGCAGGCGCAGGGCTCTCTTTAAAAGGCTTTTGCTGAAAGTTGAACCAGAGAATTCCTCATTTTGGACAGAAGCTGCACACCAAACCCAGACATTTTCTATAGTTTTTATGTGAGAGGCTGCTTGACTGAATTCGTTTTCTACTGACTTTAATTTTTCCTGTTCAGAAAATTCAATGGGAGTGATAAGAGAAAGGAGTGGAACACACTGATGTAACATCATGTTACAGTCTGACTGCACAGCTACCCCCAACCACATGGATATGAATTTTATGCTTTTTGAATCTAGAAAAAAATATCTGTTTCAATAGAGTTCAGAATTTTTTTTTTAAATTACACTTTGGATATGCTCTGTTGCTCTTTGGTCTATTTTCTTGGATTTTAGGTGAGATGATTTATTTTCAGCATTTCTTCTATCCTGGTAAATTTATTTAAAGCCATACAGTTTGCATTAGGTTCTGCTTTAGCCATGTTCTATACATTTTGACTTGTAGTGTTTTCCTTGATATTCAGTTATGAATATTTTATAATTTCTCTTTTTATTTCATTTTAGGTCAGAGGTTATTTAGATTTTAGACACACAGGACTTTCCCCCCTTGCTTTAAAAAATCCTAATTTTATCGCAGTATGTTCAGATCATAGCCTCTATTATACTACTCTAAAACTTACTGAGGTTTTCTTTGTGGCTGAGAATGTGATTAATTTGTGCAGTTCCATGTAAACCTGAAGTGATCCAAAAGATGCCTTGTTAGGGAGCAGGTATTGGTCACATCTTCTTATCCATGGCTTGCCATGCAAAGGCCATTTGGATCTCTGAGATGTAACTTGGGGGCTGGATAGGGGGTCTTTGCTGGCTCTCATGAATGAATCCACTTGGGTCTCTTCCAGGTCACTGCTGTCACCCTTCACCTAATCTGACCCCTCAGCCAGGGGTACTAATAAGACAAGAGCAAAGAGTGGTATCTTTTCTGGAATACAGTTCCTTCTCCAGGGCAAATGTTCAGTTATAGTTGGTGACTAGTTAATGTTCATGTTCTGCTTCATTCAGGAGTCCCATAGTGAAATGTCAGCCAGCATATAGAGTATTGGTTCAGCAGAAGATCAACTATAGGGTTTCTCCTGGTGAAACTTCCCTAACTCTGACTGTATTCAGCATAGCATTTATAAATCAGATAGCTTGATAATGTTTTTCAATATGCTTCAGTGTGATAATCATCCACTTTAACAGTGCTAGTTATTACTGTAACATTCTAATGCTGTAGAACCCATCTGTTGAAATTAAGAATGATAGTTTTTTTAAAAAAATTATTTTTTAAAAATAATTTTAAGTCTGAACATTGGAAATCCCTACTTGTGCTGGAAAGAACTTGTTTGGAATCAACTGCCTTATCAGGTTGTCATATGGCACTAGAATAACTTCAGAAGTAGACAAAGTGGTTTACCTAAAAACCATGTGGCCCACAAACATCCTACACATGACATTTCTCTGTAAAAGTTTAACCTTGTTATTTACAAGGTAGGGACTGTAGATAATTTTTAGCCATAGGTAGATGTACTAAATTCAGGATGCAGAGATTCAATATAAGGACAAATAAAATACCTCATATAAATTCAGTGAAAAAAAAAGGAATCTAACCACATTTCATGTTGACTTATGAATGTGATGTCAAAAACCTACTTTGAGTTTTTCAGCATTTTATCTGACTGAGTTGGCATTTTTGATCCCATTTCCCAACCAACAAGCTGGGATACTTTGCTGTAGAGAGGAGACATTCTTACATAATCACTGCATGGTTTCCTGTCACTGTGTCCTGGCTGGGGTCATGGAGAGAGGGGAGGCAAGTTGGAGAATGACTGCAGAGTGCGGAGAGGAAGGGTTGAGAGGGCAAGGGATACCAGGTCTGCCTGTCCCAGCAGGGTCCCAGAGAAGCCAGACAAAGGTGGAGAAGATGGAGATAACAGGGTTGCCAGCCAAGTTTCCCTACTCCTTAATCACTGGGCTCTAAGTAACATCTCCCAGCGACTACCTGGATGAGGACATGGGGACACCGCTCCATCTTCTTATCGAGGCAGGTACCTGACTGCAAGGATCTGCCACGCAGGTGCACCCTTGCTGGCCCTGGGATTCCCCACAGGAGCTGCTTTGAGAAATTTAATGTTCTCTTTGTGCCTTCCTTCCAATAGTTGGCATCTGTCAGAGTTACTGTATTTACTGCAGACCATAAGGAAAATCCCTGATAAGGCCCTTCAGTTTTGTGGAAGGTTACCCTGAACTCAGTCCCACTTGATTTAAGCCACAGGGAGGAAAAGCGAGGTTAGTAATTCATGCATTTTTCCTATTTTTCTTCTGGTTTTGAAAGCATCTTTTTAACAGGTAAACATTGATAAAGGTCAGATGAGATCAAATCATTTCAGTGATTTCCTTTTTCTTTTTGTGGTGACATTTCCTATTTGTCTCAATTTTTTGAAGCAAATTATGCTTGGGGGAAAATTTCCTCCTTTCATAAGACCACCAGGTGAACCAAAAGAAAGGAGACAAGTTAACCAATATATACCTGCTGCTCTTAGTTGTGGAGTCATTAAAGGGGTCAGATAACAGTGTTTGGTGTAAAAAGAGATGGAAGAGCTCCAGAAGACCTAGACCTAGGCTAGAAGAGCACATCTGGTGAGTTTGAAACGTGGGCTCAGGCAGCTGCATCATTACTTGGCCCTGATGAGCTGACAACATATCAGGAAACCCAAGCTTGAAGCACTAAGTCTCTGGCTCAGCCCAGACTTTCTGGGTGCTATTCTTTCACTCTGGAAAACAGATGAATATAAGAAGAACTGAGTAGTTCTCCCAAATTAGCTCCAAATGAACTTCATTGTCCAGCCCTCAGGGTGGGCACCTGCTTTTACCTGTCGACACCCCTCTGTGTTTAGTGGCACTGGGCTCTTAGCCCACAAGTGGAAGCACTTAATGGGGACCTCGTAGCCACAAGGCCATGAGGTAGGCCATGACTGCAGGAGAGCATGCAGAGAATGTTGCCAGCTTCTCTCCTCACTCAGAACCCCCAGTCTTTCTCATCAAGTGCCACCCTCACTCGCTGCCTGCTGCCAGTGGCCACAAGCAAGGGCTTAGTGTACAAGCTGTGCAAAGCTGAATGGAGGCAGGCTTTGGATCAGGCATTTTCAAAAAGAAACATACAAGGCTGGAGTGGTTCTCAAATTTTTGAATGACCTTGACTAAGTTCGTGGCAGATTACTCAGAATGCTCCCTCAAAAATTCTTTTTTAAAAATATCTAACCCAGGGCTCAGGAACCTTCTTTCTTTGAAGTGGGGAGTATATGTTCACTCAGCGCATGGTGTCTCTGATCATTGTGTTTTCACATTACTGTATGATTCTACTCTTTGTCCTGGGGGCTGAAGAGGTGCTGAGTAATAAATAGTGGGTTATAAAAGTAGGGCTTCTAAGGAAAGAAGAGAAATGAGTAGTTAATCACATGGTGATTTTGACTCCTCCCTTCTAGAAAAGCCCTGCTAACTATAAAACTCTGAATCAGATTCATTCAAAGGTCAGTAGTCAGCAGCTAAGATCTTTACATCCAGCACTGAAGGCTGTGATGCTGCCGATGTAACTGGGTGATTGGGAATGCTGGGATGTGCATGTGTACATGGACAGTGGCTAAGGCCAGCTCTCTGCAGCAGAGACGCTGGATTTAAATCACAACTCTACAGTTTTTGGCAAGTTTCTTAATCCCTTTGTGTCTCAGTGAATGCACCTGTAAGATGGGGATAAAATAGTACTTATTGCATAGGGTTGATGTAGGGAATGAATTATTTAACATGTGCAGTGCAGCACAGCTACTGGCCTATAGGAAATACTCAGTATGTGACACTGGAGAGCCTTAGGCAGTTCTAAGGGGAAACTTAAAATTGACTGACTCTAAAAAAAAAAAAAAAAAAGACACACACACACAAAAAATCGACTGACTCTTGAAAAGCTTGTGTGCAAGGATTCACAAGACTATGGCGCCCTTATGTATTTATGCTATGAGCCCTTTTGGGGAACTGTCTATGCACAAGTTGATGCTGGACATGGCAGGTGATGGAGCTAAAACAAGCTGTAAGAGCTGGGTCTTCCCTTCAAAGTGGCTGATTTTCTAGTGGAGACAGAAACAAGCAAAGCCCTGGTAGGAAATGGGTGGAGAGATGGGAAGAGAATTTTGCAGGGCTCAGACTTGGCTAAGGATGAGGTGGTCAGCCCTCTGGCACTTGTAAGTCCTCTCCCAGCAGGGTGACATGTGATGGCCTCTCTGTCTGGATTTGAGGGCAGCAGCTATTGGAACAGAAGAGCAGAAAATGCTCTATTTCCTGGCACAGATTTCCCCTCTGTGGCAATGCTTTAAACATTGCGTTAGGATTTTTATTTAATCATATGTCACTCAAGTATTCTGGCCTGGAGAATTCCGTGGACTGTATTAGTCAATGGGGTCACAAAGAGTCGGACACATCTGAGTGACTGTCACGTCACTTTCAGCTCTCTGGTAGCTACAAATGGGGAGGATACAAAGACCTGTGGAGGCACTGTCCTCTCTCTGTCCTGTCTCTGGATGACATTTCAGCTTTGGCTGCAGTCTCTCATGCCTTTCTCACTAGATGATTTTGTTTGGGATGAGGCTAAGGAGGTTTAGGGCAATGATTAACATTTTAATATTTCTACATGCAAGAGTTATGGACTGTTAGATTGCACAGTGCAAAGATATCAGGTAGGAGTCTAAAGTTGTTTACAGCTCTCGCTGCCCAAGTGTGGGGACTAATTTATAAGGACAGCTTGACCACAAGGGTTAACAGGTAACAGAGGCAGACAGCTTCCCCTCTTGTTCTTGCGTAACTAGAACTTGTGCAGTTCCTCAGCTTCCTCCCGAAGCTGACTTCTCCCATCTACCTGCTGCAGAGAGACCATTTGAGCCCTTGAGGATGATGGTTATTTTTTCAGCTCTCAGATTTTAACAGACAGACAACCTAAATTACGAATCAGAATGGGAAATCAAAGGATGGAAAACAGTGCAATCAGTCAGAAAAGCCCTTTGGCATGGCAGCCCTTGTTTAGAGGATCAAGAGCTCCCTGGGAAGTGATTTACCTGAGAGCATCCACTTGAACAAGAACTCACTGACCCTTCACTGAGCTGCTTCACCTCACCCACGTTTGGGAATTACAATGAGAAACGATAAAAAAAATCACTGTTCTCTTTATTGACCCTGACAAACCAGTGCCATGCTCCAGACCTACAGTTATCACCGTATGTACACGTCTGTGACTTGGTTACCCTCTTTAGTCTCCATATTAGTAAGCTCAACTCCTGTTGACACTCTTCACCTCTATCATCTCCTTATTCATCTGTCTTTTTAGGGGCCCTCAGAAACTTATGTAAAAATATAATGGACAGCCTTGGGAATTCAATAGAAAAGATATGATGAGGTTATTCTGGCAGGCTCAGAAATTTTGGTCCCTGATAGTTGTTAAATTTGGACAGCAACTATTAGGAAGTAAACGCACCATTAAGTTGGAAACAGAGATCTCAACATTTGCTAGACATGGATGGACATTAGCAGATTGATGAGGTTTAGCAGTGACATTTTGTGAATACATTTACAAAAGCATCAAAGGTCTAATTTCTTTGAGGGAGGTATAGTAAAGCTCTTAGCACACAGAATTGCTAGCATGACTGGCTTTTCTATAGAATTACTGGACCGATATAAAGGCACGACCCCATGGGTGGAGAGACACCAGCACCTTAACAGAGTACCCCACCATGCTGCTCCTCTTGGGGACCAGGGGCCTTTAGAGAGGGCTGGTTTCTTCACGCAGAAGATGTGACTTCTTTGTAATCCTCAGAAATGTAATGTCTCTGCCAAACTTGGAAAGACTTCTTTCTAAATGGTGAAAGAAAAGACTAAAAATATCTTGACTGTTTTATCTGTCCTTTGGCTGCCTCAGAGTGAGTTCGACAAGTTCTCTAATGAGGAATCTTTCCTTGGAATGAGCATTGCCACCAAAAATTATCTCATGCTGTGGAATAATGCTTGTCACTGAGCTATGAACACACCCTCCGCTACACTGAGCTCAGAGTTGGAGCCCAGAAAGTGCAAGAAACCACAAGTGGCTTACTGGCAACCTCATGTTTATCTCAAGTGCTGTTTTTGTTTTCTGTCTTGTTGGACATTTCAGGAACACAAAATGTTGATCAGACAAGTATCTGAACAGAGGAGAGGAAGCTCCAGCCATGGGCCCAAACTTTGCTGTAATCATTACTTCTAAAATATTCCAGAAGACTAGTATAAATCTGACGCCTGTGTTCTATAGTGACATCTGTCTCTTGAATTTACTGGGTTACTGGGTCCACAGAAAGTACAGGATTTCTCCCACTTCCACCATCCCCCCTTTTTTTGGCATCACATCTGCATGATACTGACTAGGATTCTTCTCAGATCTACTGAAAATGTAAAAAATGTAGTCATCACCTGGCAGATCTTCTCTTTCTGAATGTTTTCCCAGGTAGGTCGAGGCAAGACAGTTTGTGGTGTTGCTTAGTCCTAGTTCCCTGGAAACTGTCACATGTAGTTTTATGACAAAAGTCAGGGTTGGCAGTGTTTGGCTGTAATTTTAATGACTGATGTCCTGGAATTAGTTGGGGGCTTAGGGAATGTAAAGGCAAAGGCCCCATCCATCTCTAGGTGAAAGCAGTGATCTAACTTGCAGTACAGACTAGATAATAGCAATATAAAAACAAGTGCCTAAAATCAGTGACCAGCACTGATCCAGTTTTAAATCTGGCTAGTCTTTTTCATTCACTGTGCTTTTTCCAGCTCATGATAAAGGACAGAAAAGGTTGTTTGCCCATCCACATGAATCACTTGGGGAGTACTGATTTAGCAATCTGTGCCATGGTAGAGGCGCAGGCGTAGAAAACACAATCCTCAATAGATATGAGATTGGACACCACAGATACTCAGCATGAGGACTTTTATTTTTAATACTGTTCTACAGGAGAAGGAGTCTGAGTCCTGATTACATTCTCTGATACCCCTCCTACTCTAAGGCAGTCACTCCATTCCCCCCCTTTTTAGGCGGCCTCATTAGCAGATCTGAAGTCTTGGGCCCGTCTTCCTGGCATGAGTTTTCTCTTGGTGGAGCTGACAAGAGGATCCATTCACTGATGACACTTTTATTAACTGCATTAGCTGACCAGATTCCCCGTGGAACTAATCTCCCTGTAGTCATATTTCTACCGAATGTTGATTACTTAAGCTTAATTCTTTATGTAATAAATCACAGAGTAAATGCAGCTTTGGAACCTCTCATGACCATGTAACCCATGAAACATATTTCAGAATTTCTTCATGATTCGTCTTTATAGGCACTCGCTCTTGCCAGAAGCTGGAGTGACCACTGGTGCCTTCTGTGGCTTCAAATCAGAAGGGCTGTAGGGATGGTGGAACAGGAGGTGTGGCAGCTTGGCACCTGCAGGTCTCACTTCTTCTGTTACAGGCAGGAACCAGACAGCCCCCTTTCTGAAGCAAAGAACCTAGCATGGCACCTTTCCAGCTCTCCTCCTTTTTTCTTTGGCTGTTTTCCTTCTCATGACCTAATTAGCTGCCCATGTGGGCCAGAACCCAGACAAGGAAGCTGGGAAACAGGAAGGTGTTGAGGCGGGTCTGCAGTGCCCCAGTATGAGAAGCCTTTGATTCTCAGCAAGTAGTCATTTCTCTTTTCTGAATCTGTTTGTAAAGTGTATGCATCCCGATTGAGAGAGTGAAATGAGGTGTTCCATGAATGGGGCTTAGCAAAAAGAAAGTATTCAGTAAGCACTGGCTGTCCATTCTGATAGCCCTCCTACTTGAAGGCAGTCAGTTCATTGTCTGCCTGGCTAGGTGGCCTTATTTAGCAGACCTGAAGTCTCTGGCTCATCATCCTGGCATGAGTTTTCTCTTGATGGATCTGACAAGAGGATCCATTCATTGATGACGCTTCTATTGACTGCATTAGCTTATCAAATTCCCCATGGAACTAATTCCTGTCATCATTATTATAATTATTATTACTATGGGTTTTGAGGGTGTGTTTAGGATATTGCATAATTAGAAAAGGAAAAGGACTTTTATTCCCCCTCTATTCTGTTATTGATAAGATTATGTCTCATGCATATAAAAGTTTCCACGTTATCACTCTTCTGGCTTTTAAGAAAATGATTTAAAACAGCAAACCTTAGCATTTTCCCTCTTAAGTGGTTTTCTACTTTCGTTGGTATCTCAGGGCTATTTTCTTCAAATGTGGGAAATGATCAGCTGCATATTTGGACAAAAAGGACTTCAGGTTATGCTAAGTAGAGAGAAGAAATAACCGCAAAGACATGCACCTTAAGCAGTCTGTACCTTGCTGCACGGAGCAATCCAATAGGCTATGGCGAGAAAAGGGAGGCCTAGGGAGACTCCAAAGACAGCCAGGAATTTCACAGCGATAGACTGTTGACGTAAGCCTGAGAGATTTTCATACCACATGGTAAGCAATTGCTGTTGACAGTTAGGATGAGCAACGAACTGTAAAAACAAAACAAAAACAAAAAGAAAACGCAAACAGGAAAATGGCATCGGTAGCACTTGAACAGTATATGGCCTTTGAGTAACTCAGGGCTCACATGTTCTCCTGGGGCGGGGGTGGCCTGCGTGTTGGAGAGGGAGCAGCTGGGTCAGGTACCTGCTGGGCCCCTCTGACTTGGGGTTTCTGGGGCCTTTGTGCTGTGGCCAGAGCTCTCACAGGACTGGCTGCATCAGGGCTTGGCAAACCAAGGTCCCTGAGAAGTCTCAGGCACAGAAAACAATAGCCAGCTTCTGGGCAAATGCTTGTCTCTAATCCCAGGAGACTTATATCTGGGCAGAATTCATATGGGAGTCAACATGTTGGAATGGGTGGAGCCTGAATGGGGTTTTAGAGTCAACATGTGTTTGAATTTTGCTTCTACCATTTACTAGCCAGGTGGCCTTGGGCCAGCAACTTAACCTCTCTGAGCTTCAATATTGTCCTCTGCAAAACAGAGTCTGTTACTTTGTTCTGTAAGATTACATGAGATATTGTAGAAAAATTGCTGTCTCATTTCCTATGTTGTCTAAGGAAAAGTCCTTGTGTGTTTCCAGATGATACGTTAACCCTCCTCAGCGTTTCTCCCTGGATTTCGGTGGTGTTAGGCTTGGGTCCATGTTGCTTGTCGTGGCATGCGGGAGCACTGACACATTGCGTCCCCACACAGTGGCTTCTCCCTGCCACCTCCCTTCTCATGGAACTGCCTTGCCCTAATGGCCGGGTTACAAGATGGGACTTTTGTGGACATTGTGTATTGTGTTGATCTTACCCCTCTTGACAGATGTTGGACCAAGGGTAAAACCCAGACTTAAACTGGATCCATTGGGTTTTCTCATCTGTGTATTTGAGCCTGTGATCAAGAGAGGCAGTCTTTTTACTTACTGAGGAGTTAATGTGTGGCCTTGAGAAATCTGGGCAGCTATCTTCCACTGTGTGGACTAAGTAGCAAAACAAGCCAGTTAAAGAAGAATGAAGTTGTCTAGAAAGATGCTCCTACCCGCTCTGAGGCCCAGCTTCACTTTGCCCACATGGTCCACGAGACACCTGTAGATTCAAATACAGCATCTTCCTTTTTCTGCTTGCATAAGCAGGTTGACTTGAGTTGCTGCAACCAAATATCCTTTACCTACAAATATTTGGTGCTACTTGGCCATTTGTTCATTTGATTCTGTCTTGGCCAGTAGAAACTGGCAATAGGAAACATTTAAGTAACATTTATGGGAATAAAGTATACAGTTGAGAAAATTATGCTCCTTAGCTTATTTCTTCCCTTTGACAAAGGTGAGCCAGTATTTGCTTTTGGCAGCCCTGCTCTTTGGCCCCATCAGGATAGCCATGTGCCATTAGAGCTGAGACCAGAGCAGATAGACTGAACATTTTTCAAAAAGAGTGACTTTTCAGTGGATCATAACATCCCAATTTTTATCCCGTTTGCCTCGCTGGGTATTAAGAGGGCATATACAGCAATTTCTGGGAAATGCAAAACATTCTCTTTTCACTATAAGAACAATAAAAATAGAGCTATTTAAAAAATTCTCAACGCAGATGGCAACCACTGCTTGTTTCCAGTTTCTGGGAACTCACAGTAGCGGCCAAATGATTTGTGAGGATGCTCTCAAAGCTTTATTTGGCCCTGCAGCAGCCCCTGGTGATACTATTACTCAATCATTAGCTGCAAATGAGGCTTTTTGGGAGGTAGCATTATTAGATTCATTGCAACCGTTGTGGTTTTTCCCTTCAACAACCAGAGCAACAGATTCTCCTCAACCCAGGTAGGAACCCTCAGGTCATGCTATGGTTTCCTGTGCCCTTGCTGGATCACCACAAAGTGGAACAAACAACAGAACATCCTACACGTGGTTTGGTAATTCTCAGAGCCTGGTCACAACACGGTCCCATCACAGGTCAACTTGCGGACATGAGGGTGAGTTTTGTTTTTCAGCAGTTAACCTTCTCTGGGTGCTGGCGTGGCCCTGCTCAGGAGCAGTGCACAGTGCCATGAAGTAGTGGGGATCGCTTGGCTCACCCTGTGGCTCCCTGCACCGTGGCTGCTCTGGGAGGACCCTCGACCTGAACCTCACCATTGGCCTCTCTATCTTTATCTCAGGAGGGCCCTTCCATGCACCTTCTGCTGCCTCCTGCAGACAAATCAGCACAACAGTTTGGGCAGCAGTGCAGGAAGGGGAGAAATTCTGAGAGAGGACAAAGTGGGAACCATTCCCACTCGCCCTCACCTACTGCAGAGGAGGACAGTGGACCCAACTGAAACAAGGGAGGCTTTCTTGAGACTCTGTTCTCCTCTGATTAGGCTTTTGTTAATTTCCACAGTGTCATTTCTTCCTCCATAATAAAGCAACCTAGCTCCAAACATGCTATTTATTTGTAGACAGACTTTATAACATAATGCTCCCCAAAAGCCCAAATTGTTATTTATCTTTACATGGGCACTTTTCTGTATTTGTAGCAGGACTTAGAAGACAACCTCATGACAAATAATTCAGTGTGTATCAGATATTTTTTTCCCACTGTGCTTTTGAAGCACAGAGAAACGTTCCTAATCCAAGGGAGATGAGAGTAACATGAAGCACACTATCAAGACACAACGAACACCCTAAGCAGAAGAGCATTTAGCCAGGGAACAAAGGCAGGGGCAGGGGGAGAATTTTCAAAAGCAGTGTCAGAGAGAAACAGAGAAGAAAAGCCCACAGCTAGATACGATAGAATGGGAACTCAGAAAATCAGTGTAGTCTTGGCCAGCTTTCTTTGCCAGTTGGCCCACAAGAGGGTGGATTGATTAAAGGATGGATTGCCCAGGCCATTCCTGCCCCTCAACCATTCTGGATTGAGAGTATGCTACACGGTTATGAAAGTTCTTCAAGGGAAGAACTGGTTTGACCACCTCAGCTTTCCCATCTATGTGATTCATACTCTTCCTCACAGGGAGTAATGACTTGGAGCCAAAAATGTGTTTAGGTAGGCTTATGTGGAGTGGAGCAGCCTGTCAGGAGAATATATGTCAGACCGTACTCACGACTGGGATGGGTTGTTTCAGAGAACTGGGCTGAGGTCAGGAGCTAAGTAATTAAACTGGAAAGAGAAATAGAGGGAAGCTCTGACACAGAATTCCCCGTACTGGTAAAGGAGACTGGGAAACAGGACCTGAGGCCGGGAAGGACTAGAATTCATGTTGCTTCCGGTTTTTGAGTCCATCTCAAGCCAGTTATTGTGGTGGCATGTTTGACCAGCCTTCATGTTTAGTATAATATTTATACCCAAAGCTAGTTTTCTGTAAATATCTCACCTAAACTTCCTATTCCTCCCAGCCCCTGGTGACTTTCTAGTGAGAATACAGTACTGGCATATGGGAACTCTTGGGCATATTGGCCAAATCCTGGCTCTTAATTTGCTTTCAGTTGATCCATTCATTGTTATTTTTCTTTTACAGCCTGAAGGAAGAGTATCCCCTTCACTCTTTTCCCTGCTTTACATTCATTTACAAGGAAATATCTGATCTTTTAAGAATAAATAGTTAGTTGAAGACTATCAACATTCTTTAACTAACTGTTGAGTGTTTTTCAGGCTGTTTCATGGAATGTTAACACCCTTGGGCCATGTATTCCTATTACAACAGACTTTCCTGATGGGGGTGTGTTTAAGTGTGTGGACTAGAGCAAGGCTGCCTGGGATCAAGTTCAGGTCCTGCCACACACTGGCCACATGATCTTAGATCATTGATGCTTTCCATGTTTAGTTTCTTTTTTCTGTAAAATGAGGCCAATAATGAAGATTCAGTGAGTCAGTATTTGTAAAGTGTTAAGGACAGTACTTGGCAAATAGTAAGTGCTGTAGTGGTATTTAATAAATAAAATCAAGCCCATGATTCTCCTTTCTGAAATATCCCATTTTTTTCCCATCCTTCCTCCTGTTGTTTCTCTGTTCTCCTCTCTGGCTGCGGTTCTACTCCACCCTCCTATTTTCATTCTGTTCTCCACATGGTTTTAGCGGAGTTTCTTAAAGTGTTGTTGCTTTTGGAAAGGTTCAAGTAGCTTAGCATATGAGTGAGGCCACTCCTTCTCTAGCCTATGCCTCCCTCCTCATCCTCCAGTGAAAGCACAGTTTAGTTGATGCAGGCAATTAGCTGAAAATGAGCTGATCTCCACGAGACCCTTCAGGATCACAGGCAGGTCTGTTCAGCTCCATGCTGACACTCCCCCCCACCATGGACTGCAGCATGCCAGGGCTCCCTGCCCCTCACCATCTCTCAAAGTTTGCCCAAGTTCATGTCCATTGCATCAGTGATGCCACCTTAAAGACTGTTAAATCTTGCATTTGCCTCTTTTAGGGGTAGGGGAAAAGGGCTACATTTGAGCTCAGAGGCTTTGAGGCTGTGTGATCTCTGTATCCAATAAATCCAGAGTTTTCTGACACTAGGTCTCATTTACAGAATAATGAGATGTGGCAATGCATGATTTGATAAGCTGAAGAATAACTTAGCTAGAGAAAAAATTTATGAAATCCACTGTTTATAGAGAAAATGACTTTATTTTCTGCAGAAAAACCATCAAAGGCTGATGTCCAATGTGACTGTGATCAGGATTTTTCACTTAGCTCATCACTAGCCCTTCCTTATAGAAATCTTTTTACCCCCCTGCCCTGGAAACTGTCTACATAGGCAAAGAGAGACAGGTACTATACTAGTCAAGTGGCTTTTTTTAGTGTGGACAGTAAAATGGAATTAGAATAACTCTGTGTTGCCACTGCCTATTTGAATCTTCTCATAGGAGTGGACATCTCATTGGACGGGGAAGCCTGGTGTGCTGCAGCCCATGGGGTTGCAAAGAGTCGGACAGGACTGAGCAACTGAACAACAACAAAGAGTAGGAGTGGATCCAGTGGTGCTAATGTTCCTCTGTCCCATTTTTGTCTTGGCAAAGTTCTCAAGTCCTAGATTGAGGAGGGA